TGCACACATGAAACTTACTTTTTTGCATCACTTCCACTTTAATTTATATTTCAATTGCTGTTGTTATTGCCCATGTATATTATTGAGAATAGAGGTATGTGAGTACATTGAGGTTGTGCACCAATGCTGTCACCACAGCTCGTATAAATTCCCTCATGGGGCACCGAACATTTGTTCAGTATTCGTCCCGAAGGACTGCTATATATGTCCCGTAGGACCACTACGTCCCGAAGGACTACAATACCCTTGACTCTTGGCATGCCAACTATACCTATAGCTCTCGTATCATATACTACGGGCATTTACGATGAATACTTTTCTCATCACTTGTTCTTTCTTTTCTGTCACATACCACATGTATGTGTAACCATGTATTTCATATCATATCACATGTATCACGTATTGCATATTCATATATTATTTCATTTATTCACATAACTTATCTCATTTCACATTGATCATGTCTCATAGCATATATCACATATTCTTATAATCATGTATATCATATCATATATCTTATGTTTTATGCTCTTATGTCTATGCATATCATATAACATATATAATATCCTATACTCATTTAATGTATTCATGCACATATAAGAATCACAAATCAAATAACATTTTAAGAGTCACCTCTTACCATAGTAACTCCATCACTAGCTCATCGCAAGCCAATGTTCAATAATATAAGTACAATTAAAATTGCACTCACCTTAGCCTTGTTTGATTTGAATCAATTCTAATCCTTTGATTATTCCAGAACTTGTTTAGGCTCAATATCTACATAAATATATCATTTCAAAACAACTATCAGAAGCCTAAACTTTAAACTTGATGTTAATAACTTAAACTGGTTTAATGAATCAAATTCTATTTTTTCATTTAGGGGGGAATCGATACCCCCCCAGGGGGAATCTGGGGAATCGATACCCCCCAGGGGGGAATCTGTTCCCCCTGCACATACTGGAATTTTCGTCCAAGAGGGGGAATCGATTCCCATTCATAGGGTATCGGTTCCCTCTACCCAGAAATTGTATTTTAACCCCGAAAATCATCAATTATTCACTTAATTCTTCTATTTTAAACCTCAATCATGTCATTAAACTCAACTACCATTACTTCAACCAACTTATATCCATGAAAATCATCTATAACTTCAAAATCCTATCCTTCATATGTAATTCAAGAATCATACTCAATTTTCCATGTTATCCAAATTTAATTCCAACACTTTTATCTTCTTATTCTCATAGATGACAAGTCAAATTCAACTTATCAACTCTATTCTATGATTTCATATAAAAACTCATTTTCTTAAATCTCTTATAACTTCTTCATCTTTTGATTATAAGACAACTTAAGCTTTCCTTAAGCTTAGTTATCATCTAATGATAAAAAACTAATCTTCAATTTCATAAATAACCAACAAATAGAAAACTCACCTTATGCTCTGCACGTTGGAGAAGAAGAAGGTAAGAAGAAGAAGAGTTTTCTAAATACTCTCCCCCAACGTTTATCTCTTCATAAAGAGATAAAAAATATCTTTCATGTTAAATGACCATTTTGCCCCTTAATTCCTTTGATAATTACTAATTATTTTCAGGAAATATTTCCGAACAAATCATTACACTATTCAAATATCTTACTTTAATCAACACATTCTGAAGTTTTACAATTTAGTCACTAACCCGTATTTTGGGATGTTATAGTTTGTTTTCTTTCGATCGTTTTAATTTTGCAAAGAAAGCAAGTTAGTAAGTTATACATTTTTTAATCAGGTTACGAACTACTTCCTCGAACGTTTGAATCAATGCTTCAAGATTTACGGGTGAAGAACGAGGAAGGATACGATTACATCAGCCTCATCGATAAAGAAATGTGGACGAACGCATATGATGATGGATATCGATATGGAAATGAGGAAACGATTTGCATTATCAAATAATGCATTTACTTCAAGTTAATGTCATTCGATAATCGCTGATGAAGATTAAAAAAAATGATACAATAATACGAGATTGGACATTTGTGTTATATGTGATTATAATAAAAGAGATAATAAGTGACAAACTTAAGAAAGTTATCGAACAATTTGGTATTTCAAAATAATTTTAAATACAACAAACTTACAATAAGTATTAAATGGTAAATGATAACCAAATTATAATAACTGATATTAAATGGTAAATGAACCGGATGCACCTGCTCTCCGTCCACGAGTCGGGGGACGATGGTGATGTGTCGGTGAACGTCTCTGTCGACGTCGCGGAAAGGTCTGCCCTTGTGCATCCTCGGAAACCAGAAACGGTTTCCCGTTACTGTTGAACCACTCGTAATAACCGTCAGCAACCATAAAGAGGTCAAGTAAAATGGGCTCTCTATGGGGAAGACGCCGATGTCAATCCTCCCACAACATGACCCACACATGATGCCTCACCAGCCAATCTGTATCTGTCTTGCCGCGTCTATCTGTGCTATGCAACTTGTCCATATTGCGAGGTGCTTCCGGAATTGGTTGAAAACAACCAAATTACCGGAGCACGCGATCAGTGGAGTGCCACTCGACGGTCACATAACAGATCAAGGGGACCATCGCCATCCAAACATCTGATGGGCCCCTCAACTCAGGTGGGATCACCGCCCTCACATCATCAGTAGAATATGACATCCATTCAAACTAAAACAAATATATATAATTTTTATCAAAATATTAATCTAATTATATAATTATAATCTAAAATCGATTTTTAAACATTAAAATTCATACCTGTGTGTCAGCCTTCTGATCGATTAACACCCTAATTTTTTCTAAATCATCAGGTAGCTCCTGATGATTTTTCCTATCAGTAGACCACATATTCAAGAAAAATAATTTCTTATTAACTGTATAAAATTATTAATATACAAAATTAGTTTTATAATTACCTCAGGAGTAGCGGAAATATGAATGGGTTCTTGACAACGGTACATAAAAAGGGCAATCGATACCATGCCCAAGACTGCAGCAGCAGGAGACATCCGCCAATAGCATTACGCCTGTAGTCAATGGCTCGACACATCTCCCTGTACAGGCAAGCCAAAACTGCCGAGCCCCAACTGAGTGATCCGACCAGATGAAAGTCGCCAAGATGTTGCAACTACATACAGTGAACTTAGTTGCGCGATTTGTCCGGCTTCAGCAGCCTTCCTATCAGCTGCAGTATGTATGCCCGTGCATTCTGTTTAACTTCATCGTCAGACGCGTCCTCGCTCAACTCCCGAAAATTAGCATCTAACCAATTTAACGGTATCCGTCCACCGTTAAAATTTTCCGTGACACATCCTAGACTAACCCGACACAAAGTAGTCCAAGAACCGGAAGCTATCCCTGATATCACACCTCCATCCACCGGAAGCCCCAGGTGCATAGAAACATCCTCAAGCATGATCGTGCACTCTCCGCACGGAAGATGGAATGTGTGGGTCTCCGGCCTTCACCGCTCTACTAAGGCAGAAATAAGGTCTGGTTCTATCTTACAGTGACTCTGATATCTACCTAGGTGACCGAATCCAGTCTCTACTAAATACGGCATTACACGAGTAGTTATAACTAACTTAAGGTTCCTAATAAAAGGATCTAACATACGGTATCTCTCCTAAAAAATAAATAATTACACAGATTAATTTTTAAACTAATAATCATGCATTAAAAAAATAAATTAATTAAATTAAAACGTTAAAATGTTATCGTATCAGTAAAGTGTCGAGATATATGATTTTCATCCAACCAAAATAGATCGCCTTCCATTTTATGTATGCAAAAAAATTAATTAAATAAGATATTTAGCAATTAAAATAATTAAATAAATTACTAAAAAACTAAATATAATAAAATATACCTTAATAATAGAATATAAGAGTATTTGAGAGAAGTTGAGATGATTTAGTGTGATGAAAGTGATTGAGAATTTGGGTATTTATAGGGAGAGATATGTGTGAACGGACGGGGGTAATTTGATAATTAAAGGTATAGCAAGGGGCAGGGCCCGTGCCTTTCTGACGCGTATCAGAATCACAGGTAAGGCGCGGCCCCTGTGTCGCGCCATACTCTTAATTACCAACCTACCCTCGCCCGTTCACACGTATATCTATGTCAGCATAAAGTGCATTTTAGGGGCACGCCTTATCCCACGTGACGCCAACTTAGCGTATAACGCAGTACAGATGACGTACCTTACTGTAAAGGGTATTAGATCAGGAAATATAATTTGACCGGTGCCTGATCGGAAATATTAAATTAAAAAGATGATTTTTTTTTTTTTGGAAAAACGGCGAGACCCACGAAGACAATGCATCTCTCCAAGGTGATCATATAAAACTCTATGGCAATACTGTAATTAATGTGGAGTTATAGGCGCATTTCCTTTGTGATTTTTAGTCTTATTTATTCTATTACAAGTTTGGATCAATGCAAAACTCCCATAGTCGTAGGGAGTGCAATGCAACTCCCATGAGCCGGGAGACTTCGATTCTTACTATAACATCCATCCTAATTGAACAAATAATTTTAAAATAATATTATTTAAAAAAAATTCACAATATTATTTATAAAAATTTATCTATTAGTTGACTAATTTAGATAATACATTAATAAAAATTGATCCTTTTAACAAAATTTGCTCTATTCAAATCATCAAGGCCTAAATCATTAAATTTTTTTCAATAATCTTGACTAGTTATAAGGTAATATACTAATATATGTTGAGAATATTTTTTAAACATCGATAATGTACACATATTTTGTAGACCTAACTGCTTGAACTTATAATTTCTAATAAAAACAACATTCTCTCACTGAAAATACTTGATAAATTCACCTAGGTCATTAATTTTACATGAAAGACCAAACGTTTTATCAAATTAAATAAGTCCGACAAGTATTTTATCCAAATTACTATTCCTCATAGAACAGTATATATGTTAGGTACAATCCAGATTCCTTACCTTTTCATTGTTCCTTCATAAAACTCATTATTATACTCGAGGCTGTTGAGGAAACATTTTCCATAAACACATATAAATTCCAATAAATATAAAGAATTAAATACAAATATTATGTCACCTCTCAGTCTCAGCTCCACCAACACCACCCCTTCCTACTTAACCTTCAAAAGTCGAATAATTCTTACGGTATATATCATTTACGCAGACTGCAGAAAACATAAAATGGAAATTCAAATGTCAAATTAGATTATTTCCTGCAATAATGAATACTTAAATGCATATTTATTGCTGTCAGTTTTGAATATCTAATTATATTATCACAAGGGAGCAATGAGACAAGTTCATGATGCTGCATGCTTGTTTGCAGTCTAGAAAGTATTCGCATTCCTAATATCCTTTATAAGTTCAGAGCCCTAATTCATTTTAGTTTTGCAGCTGATACTTGTGCCAAATCCGGTTTATATCGATGTAAAACAAAAAGGTCGCTAAGTAAAGAAGTTTACCTGTCATATAAATTACACCTGCACGTAAACTGCCTTTTTATCTTGTTGTCCTCTTCTCTGCAAAACCAACTTCCAGACCGCCAAAGCATTATCGGAAAGAAGTATAAAAACATCGACAAGGATTTAAGGTGCATCTTTTCCAACAAAGTTCATGAGCTCTGCCTTTGCTGCATTCATTACCGCCTTGAAATCTATCTGTGTATACCTTCCCCTGCAACTCAAGAATAGCTCCCTCTTCATGAAAAAGATTATAAAACCATGGGTATGCACGGATGAAGCACATTGTCAAAATTAATGGCTAAAGGGCAGTGACATGAGACTCATTATCCTTGGACTTTGTCTCAAATGTAAAGCTCAATAAAGCCCTGAATTTACCAAGCATTATGTGATATTTGATCAAGTCCATTTTATTCTTGCGCCATATACCAAAACTTCATAGGATTACGAGGCAAAATTCCAGGAAATATTTTTATGTAGTTTCTGTGGAACTCTTAAAATCTTTCGAAAAATATATCTAGAAAAGAATAAACATTCCTTTAATGGCTGAAACGGGTCATGTGGCTTACTAGGTAGAAAAAAGGGACCAAGAATCTCACTAGACAACCTATCATATGACATATCAAATTTTACATTATACTGAAGCAAGAAACTTGCAACTGCTCTTGATGTTAATAATTCCTATATATGAACATTGTAATTCCAAACAAAATAATATAGATATCATATATTATGATTTGCTCAAGACTTTCAACCAGATTGCTCAATGGATGCTTGACTATTACCAGCGACAAATGGTGTTATATCCTTAGAAAAATAACAATCAAATCAAAGGAAATATATAATATACCAGAAATGAGTTCTTGACCAAGTTGAAGAAGGATAGGATGGGCTCCCAATTCCATGCATTACCCTTGCAATAGCTCTTGGAGTAAACTTAACATTGGAGTTGCTCTGCAGAAAGACCTGGTTGACCAAAACAGATGAAATGTTTTATAACTACCACACACGACTCATGAGTCATGAGTACCCTGAGAACAGAATTGCATTGGCTGTATAATTCTCACCTTTATATCTGCACGTAGAAAAGGGCTGCAAATACAGACGATAGTTCTATTATTACGGAGAAATAAAACTAAAAGAGAGAGAAAGGGACAGATGATTTATTCGGCATGAAAAACTTTTTTTAAAAAGTATGAAATCAAAAACCATCTTGGATAATTGTTAAATGTCATTTATCTTTGATGTCTTAAAGCTAAAGACAAAGAATTTGTGTACCTGTTGTGACCCATCTTATCAAGGACATCAGGATTATTGTGTCCCTTAAAATAATCCAAAATCCTCTCTTGCAAGCATGTTGTCTGCTGAGCAACATTGCAATCATGTGTCTTCTCGCATGCATTCACTGCAAAAACTGCAGAACTGTACATGACATCCAATTTCCATACCTGATTCATAAGGGAAAAATATTAGAGCCTTTATATTATAAATCAACCAAAAATTAGCATTGCCAGTATGATATGTTGATTGCATTGAAAATACCATCAACTGTTATACTAATATTTCTAGAAATCAGAGTAGAAACAGAGAGTACTTCATAACTTAGAGGTGGAGAAAGACTGCTTTATAACCAAATCGTTTTTCTTATTAAAATATCTAGAAACAGAAATTGCAACATACATGAATCTCTTCTAGGGTAATAACAGCCACCTAAATTAATACACCATTAAACTCGTTAACATCTTTTTCTCTAAATACCCCCAGAGAAAAAATCTAATATCCTGCTTAATGTGCCGACAACTTTTAAATAATATCAGGCTCAGTTACCTTGCAATTCTCAATATCCAGTAACCATCTTGTAAGAAGTTCCGTAAGAGAACAGAAATCACTAGGAAACTTCACAACCTTAAAGCAGAAGGCTGGATCCTTCAACTCGTATGTTATTTCTCCCTTTACCTAAGATAATCCCAAAAAGAATAAGCTGAAAATGATACTGCTTCCAAGTTATACGCGATAAACCAAAATATAAGCTTCGTAAGAAAAGAAAAAAAAATGAAAAGTTATAGATCAAATTCATTAAAAAACAGTGTAGCAATCACATTTAACTACGAAAAAGTAACACTTGGCTTTAAAGTTTAAACAAATTCATTGTAATTTATTGTAAACGAGTTTTAAGCTTTCTACAATTGCTGATAGGTTGTTGAAAAAAGAATACGAACTTAATCTTGTTCAGCATACAAATCAGGCAAATCAAAAGGAATTTGTTGATGCCATCACCTACAGAGCATATACTTTTTTCTCATCTTAATAAACCATAATGCATATTTTTTCACACAAATAACGCATATCTTCAAAAGATAATCTTGAAAAAAATCACATAAACTAATGTCTTAACCTAACCATTTATGATCTCTCACAATTATATTATTAATCGGCAGATGTCAAAAATTCGAGATTGTTTTTGTTTGGCATTTGAGGAGCCTTCCGCACAAATAAAACATGTATAATAATCAACGAGAACTGGTTTCTTTTCGAAAATCCAACCTTAAGATCCTGCAAGTGATTTGATAGCTCACTAGGTGCAATCCCAATGCTATTTGCCACAGTGGGTATATCAAACACATACTGCCCTTGCTTAATTTCTGACCTAAAAATTTATGATAAAGTATAACTTGTTCTGTCAGGAGGTACATACCTGAGAAGAATTCCCATTCTACATAACCAAGCATGAAAAATATACTCACTTCCTCAAAATAGCAGCAACTGCAGGATCCTTGTCAGCAAGTGACATTGGGGAAGTCTGTAAAATGTAAATTATTTCAGTCTTCAATTAATACCTTGCTTCAGAACTTCCAATTTTCAAGAAAAGACCCTTAAAGTGTTTAAACAATCACCGCAATGTAATTGCCTAAAACAATTAACATGTAAGAGATATCTATGAGAAGTTCCATTACCTTATGGAAATTCAGAGTACAAGTAACATTTAGCTGTGGAAGCAGATGCAAGTATTGTGTTTCACCCAACTCCAGATGTGTTAAAAGTGTGAGCATTACCTGCAAGCAACAGTTTAGATAAATGGTAGCCGATAATTTGCTGAATGTCAGGCTACCAACATGATTTTAAAAATGAAAAGAAGAATCATGATGCAGTAGATTAGGCTACTCCAAATTTTAGCATAAATGTTTCAAATTGCATATTTGGCTACGTAGTATTAGTTATATGGAAACTATTAGATTGCAAATTCTAAAAGTCCATTCAGCATGGTACAAGAGAGAACCTCTTCTTTCATATCGAATTTACGAGATACAGATTCTTTGACCAGTGAACAAACTTCCCCATGTGAATTTCCGTCATCAGCAAAAACTTGACAAAGGAATTTGTTTACTGAAAACTCATCCACTCCATCACTGACAACAAAAAGTTGTGTAAGTATAATTCAGAAAAATCCTCTCAATAAATTCTTATTGTAAGATCAGTTTCATGCTAAGAACCTGTGCATAAGACTTCGGAGCTTGTAATATGTGACGTCGTCAAAATAAAGATGGCAATAAGACAATCTCCCATCTCGTCCACCACGACCAATCTCCTACAAGAGGTGACCGTTCATTTGATTAGCAGTCATCAAGGTACAGAATGCCTTGCAAAAACCTAACAGTTAAGGAGCACATATCAACCTGGACATACTCTTCCAAGCTTTCTGGCAAACTATAATGAATTACCTGAAACAAAATCAAGGAAAAAAAAACACTTGCCACTATTTAAAAATGGTGGTGCAACATCTAACGCAAGCAAATCACAGCAGAAAGAGAGCATAGAAAGTGTTTGTATACATGAGATTCCCGAAGTGCTAACTCAAATTGACTCTCTTATTTAACAATTTTCTACTTCTGGTCTTTCAAACCCCAGTGAAGAAGACAACCAGGAAAACTAAAGTAGAGAGGAGGAGCAGTGGTCTACCCTTTACACATACCATCACTTATGACAGAACCATTATACCATCATAATATTCTAAATCACTAATGCACCAAAATTTGGACTATAATTTATTTTGGGTACAAGAGGATACTATGGACTTAGCCTAGCATCATCAGGAAAATTTCAACTACCCTTTACAACTTGAGCTAAGGCCAGGAGGGAAAAACTAGACTAGATTTGATGTGAATTTTATGACAAGAAACCACAGAACTTATAAATGAAGTTTTTCTTCTTACAGCTCCAACATCCCTCTTGTCAAGCCCCATGCCAAATGCCACAGTTGCAACAACCTTCAAAAGATAGTTATTGAGGTAATTGTTACAACCAATAAAAGCTTTCAAAAGGGAGAAAATTATATTCAGTGCAGAACTTAGATGCTGCAGTGAGATAATTCATACCACTCTGATCTTGTTGGCACAAAACAACTCCTGTATGCGGCTGCGATCCCTTGCCAGCATTCCACTATGGTAACTCTACATGAACATTAAAAATAAGCTTGTTAGAAGCCTAAAAGTTACTAACTGATGGAAAACATTACGCATGTAAAAATACTCACCTTTGCAGAGATATTGTTATCACATAAGTACCTGCTTATCTCATCAGTTTCAGACTGCAAAATCCAGGGCAAGTAGAAATTACTAATGGCTTGAGAACTATACGTTGACTGCATAAATGCAATAGCTAAAACCTGAGATCAAGCGCATTACGAAAAGGCTTAAATATACATTTGGTACCTGAACTAGGCACCTTCTCCGAAGTTGGTACCTAAAGAATTTTTGCTCCCAAGTTGGCATAATTCCATTCATTGTTTTGGTACTTTTATTAACGATAATAACTTTTGATGACATGACAAAATAAGATTATACAATGTGTCAATGATGATGTCATCATAAGTTTTTTTTTTAAAGAAAAGCTTTAAAATTTGTAAAAATTTATTAAAAGTACCAAATCAGTGCATGAAATTAAAGTTAAAGTACCAACTTGGGAGCAAAAGTTAGGTACTAATTTGGGAGAACATGCCTGGTTCAGGTACTAAATGTATATTTAAGCCTTATAAAAGTAGTCTTTCTGCTTCAGGCAAATTTAGTAGCAGAAGAAGCTAAGTTGCTTATATAAGGGATTTATAGAATTAGCAGATATGTGCTATCCAAAAGAACTGCTCAAAGCTGCGCATTAATAGCCAATTGAACTGAGTAAAGGAATTCAACAATGAGAAGAGCCATAGAGTCAAAAATATTCAAAGGAATACAAGTCTTACCTGAAATTTGCAGTAAACAATAATGCTTCGAGCTTCCAGAAAAGGAGAGGACTTCATCAACTTTAGCATATCCTTCATCCTATGATGATCAAACAGTTAGAAGCATATTCATAGGATAACCTACGTGTGGAGTAAAGCTAAACTGAAAAAACAGGATCAGACTTGCCTATTGCCACTCAAAGACACCGATAGCCGTAGATTATCCCTTACTTGTGCCTTTTGAATTAGGTTGGTTGAAGAAATCTCTAACGCTGACATAACAGATGACAAAGTTGTGGTTGTGGCAGTTGCAGTCATTGCAAGAATGCATTCAGCATTGAATTTGGCACGAAGTAAAGATGCCCTCAGCCGCATATATGACGGCCGAAAATTATGTGACCTATATAATTTTTATTCATTTCAATACATTCGATACTTTCAGGAGATGTAAATAAGAAGAATGATAGTTCAACCACTCACCATTCAGATACACAATGAGCTTCATCAACCACGACAAGTGATACAGATGTAGTACCAGAAAATATTGACAAAAAGTCTGCATTCAAAAGTCTTTCTGGTGAAACAAAAAGCACCTGAAACATAAGCCATGAAAACATTAGCTTTTGGGCAGTGATGCAATTCAAACAATATTCATACTATTCACCAATAACTTCCTAAAATGTTAAACCCACTTTTATGCTTCCTTCTTGAATCATTCTTAGTGTCTCGGCAGCCTCTTCGGGTCCCTATTCCATGCAAAAACACAACATAACGCCATTTATCAATAACTAATAAAATTCTAAAGAGAGAGAAACAACCCAATTCCTACCTGACTGCTAGACAAGAAACCGCCTGGAATCATGGAAGGCAACTGTTTCAACTGATCAATCATCAAAGCCACCAATGGACTCACCACCAATGTAACCCCTGGTAAAACCACTGCCGGAATTTGATAGCAAAGCGACTTCCCAGCTCCAGTTGGCAAAACTAGCATCGCTGATTTGCCAGCAAGCACCATTTTGATTGCTTCCAGCTGTCCGTCACGGAATGAATCATAGCCATACATAGCTTTCAACAACCTCACCAGGTTCTCATCCGATACCTCATTTCGAACCGCAGAAATTGCTGCTTCAACTGACTCAAATCTACTAAGGTTCTCTACTTTCGAATGCTGTGTAATGTCAGAAACTAAACCTTCTTCGTCGCAAAGGTTTCCCATATGAACTTCGGGTTTGACTCTTCTCTTGCTTCTTTTGAAATACTTTGATTTGTAAGAGTAATTGTTCATCTTTTTACCTTTAGCTGTGAACTTGCGCTTATAGCCTCTGAAATTTAGCTTAACGAAGTTACCTTCTTCACTGCGTCTTTGTAATTTAACTTCAGGTAAAGGGGCATCCCCTCTGATCAAATTCGGAAGATTCTTGTTGAAAATTTTGGTGGAACCTGAGCAGTCGGAGACTTTAATTTTAGGTTCGGCGGTTATTTCCGGTGTGGTTTCGGGTTCAAAATTAAGGGAAGGTTTAGAGATTTTGGAGAAGGAAACACGGCGCGTGGAGAAGAAACCAGCGGGGAGGGTTTCAAGGGAACGTCCGACGGAGATTTGACGGGGTTGATCCGACGGACGACGAATCTGGAAAGGAAAATTGCCGACTGGAGAAGGGAGATCCTGTTGCTGAATAGGTTTGGGTTCGGGTTCCGGTACAACTTTGGGTTTGGGTTTGGGTTTATCATGTTTTAACGAAGACGGCTTTTTGGGTTTGAAAATGGTGTCTGGATGAGAGGAGGGTTTGATCTTTGCTGTAGATTTCAAGGAGGAGGAAGGAGGTTTTGGAGGCGGTTGCGGCAGCCTCCTCGGAGGCGGGAGTGAGTCACGTGGAGGAGTGGCTGAAATATGTGAGCCGTCCGAGTCTGAATCGGAATCCATGTGTGTCAACTGAATCACGGAGACAAAGTAGAAGCGGTGGGTGGGTAAAATGCGGAGTGCTCAGCGGCTTTTCAGTTTTTAGCGCTAAATTTTTCCCGCCTGGTAGTATTTTGTATTATTTTAATGTTTTCACGTAAATGTCTGAATTACCCTTGGTCTATTGGGCTCTTGTTAGGCATTTTTATTATCAAAACAGCCAACAGTTATCTTAAGTATGTTTACATCTTTACCCTTTGCCGCCTTTCTCTTCCCGTTCTTTTATTTTTGCCTTTGATCAAATTAATCCATACTGGAACTATTGACCCTTAAAATGTTCGACGTTCAGAATTCAAAAATACTACTATTACTTTCGTCTTAAGAAAAATAATTTCTCGTAACTTTTCACTCAATAAGATTCTTTTCTATTTATGCACACGCTCCACTAGAAAAATAAAACCAACATTTTTTGTTGAGTTACAATTACACAGAGAAAACGATAAAACTACTAAGTCATGCTGATTTGAAGCTCATTGATCCAATTGGGATCCTTTTGAATGCCTGCTTTAAATAGCCAAATTAGAGAAGGATGAACTGCATGAAAACCACGATCATGGCCATTACAAGGGTTTATATAATAATGTATAGTCACCTAAACCTATTTGCAAGCAATAATACATGGTTGAAATTAAGGTTCACGTTTGACAACAATGTTGGGAGGAAATCGAAATGAAACGAAAAAGAAAATATGATGATGGAGAATGAGAAACGGAAATAAAACCCAAGTGGAAGAGAAGCAAGAAACAGAAACCCTTGCCCAATCCCGTTGAGCTTTTGTAAATGCAGAAGCAATTGTCAACCAAATGTGAAAATATAATTTTGAAAAAAATTATTTCTCTTGATAATGATATTTTTCACGAAGTAAACGTCTCCTAAGAGTAATGGTTTCACGATTCACATGGCATAAATGACGTGATTCCGTTGGGCTTTTGTAAATGCAGAAGCATCTGGAATAATGGGATTTTGGTGGGATGTAAACCAAAGCTAAAGTTGTTCAAAACAAGGACTATGCCATTACCATTTTCCTTGAGCAAACTTTGTTTTGGTGATGTAATAAAAGAGTTGTTTGTGACAAATAATGCTATAACTTAATGATGTAATTAAGAGTCAATATTCTAGTCGTCGTCGCTTTGACAATTTTCTTTATCGTCCTTATCACCAAATGGTTTCTCTTCTCTCTCTCTTTTTTTTTTTGTTGCCCAATTGAACTTCCAAAATTTAAATAAAAAAAACTAATGCACATCTTCAAATTCACTGACTTTGGTCCCTTCCATTGATGATTGTGTCAAACTAATCCTATTGTATCCCTTTTTTTCTTCTCAAAAATCAGATTCCCAAAACCATTTGAAAGCCCGTAAAACTAAACTCAAACTTTCAAATTTCCTTCGTCGGATTTGAGCTGTCCATAGACGTCAGAGTTAAATATGTTCTTCTTGGCATGACTGACGGCTGCCCCGATATAAAAAACTCGTGTAAAGTCGAAATGGAGTTGAGGGTTATAGCTGAGCAAATAATTATCAATGGATGGTGAACAGAGTTGAATTGGGGATTGATGATGATAGATTGTCGGCGGGATACTGACATTGGTGTTAGATTTGAAGGTTGGGTTAAAGTGAAGATGAAGACCGACTCGGGTGTGCTGATTGAATGGGGTGAGTTGTTGTAATATAAATGATGATAGATGACATGAAATTGGACAGTGAAGATCGGCAAAGTGAATCAGCAGTGTTGGGCGTGGAGCGGGACGTGAGATGTCGCAGTGCTTTTAATAATCTTTTGGGTGAATTAAATATTTTATTTAGATAACACTTCAACTGAGATAACAACCAAGCATGACTATAATGTGAGAGATCAAAATCTATGATACTATATTATGACCAATTTTGTAGTTTACCCCCTTACTATTATTATATTAAAGGTGATGAATTATATTAAATTCTCTAAATAATTAGGAATTCAAATGGCAGAGGGGGCAAGTGCTGAAACACAAAAAAGCAACAACAGAATTTTCATTGACCATTCGGTTCTATACTTACTACTAAACTGGAAACTATGTTCCCTACATCTTCAATATATCGAAGAAAGAGCAAAAGCCATTGAAACATTGATTTTCTTTTCAAAGTTTAAAACGCAGAAATGGAAACATCCAAGAAGGTAAAATCTCAGGTTTATTTGCAGCTTCAAAAACAACACCAGAAATTATCAATCGATTTTAAGCTTGGGTAGATGCATGTGAACAATCAAGTCAATCACTCGAGAACTGCAAAACAAAACATGGGAGGGAGTGTCATGTTCACCATAACCTGCAGTTCAAAGGCCATAGATTTCAAAGGAGAGAAAAAAAAAAGGCTCATCTTTCATTACCTGTAACCCCATTCATTGTCATACCAGCTGACAAGTTTCACGAAGTTTTTGCTTAGAGCAATACCAGCCTTGGCATCAAATATGCTCGACCTGAAAAACACACAAGATCGAACATAAACCTCTTTACAAATGACAGTCTAATAACATAAATACAACGGGATATCGTTCTCGACTTGCCTGCTGTCACCAACAAAGTCTGTGGAGACAATGTCTTCTTCAATGTAACCAAGAATGCCCTTAAGCTTTCCCTCCGACTCCTCCCTGAAATTATCAAACAGCGGGTGAGAAATCATATAATAGTAGCTTGAAAACAGTGGGTGAGAAATCATATAATAGTGGCATGAATACAGTGATTCAATCCTCAAGAGGGATTACTACGGAACTTACTTGATTGCAGCTTTGATCTCGTCATAAGACGTGGACTTCTCAAGCCTAACAGTGAGGTCAACAACTGATACATCGACTGTAGGAACTCGGAAAGCCATTCCAGTCAATTTACCATTGAGGGCGGGGAGAACCTTTCCAACAGCCTATTTATCCACAATATCAAGGAATGCATATATTAAAGATCAGTTAAAGTAGCATACATTAACCTATATTTAACAGATCCGGTTAGGCTAATGTTCGAATTTTTTTCAAGATTTCAGATAATTTAAGAATTAAGAGCCGAAGAGGTACCTTGGCCGCGCCAGTACTGCTGGGAATGATGTTGAAGGAAGCAGCTCTACCACCTCTCCAGTCCTTCATCGAAGGACCATGAACGGTCTTTTGTGTGGCTGAAACCCAAAGAATTTATAGTCAAAACTATCACCAACCCATTAAAAAAGTTAATTAAAAAAACAGGGTAAAGTAAGTTACCAGTGATGGAATGAACAGTGGTCATGAGACCCTCAAGAATCCCGAATCGGTCATGGATAACCTTGGCAAGGGGAGCAAGACAATTGGTAGTGCAACTTGCATTGGAAACAATGTTAAGCTCTGGCTTGTATTCCTTTTCATTCACACCGACAACGAACATAGGGGCATCTTTGCTTGGAGCAGAGATCACAACCTTCTTAGCACCACCCTGAAAACAAACAATATCTCATTCAAGCTTCCATCTATTTATTGAGAACAAATAACAAAAGCCCAATGAATATTTTTTTCAAGGAACCTTCAAGTGAGCAGCAGCCTTGTCCTTGTCAGTGAACACTCCGGTTGACTCGACAACAAACTCAGCTCCGGCCTCAGCCCATGGAATCTCCTCGGGATTCCTAAATCATGAAATACAATAATTAAAACCATTAAAAAGATAACTAAAAGCAATCTTAGAAATGAGATTTTTCCCCTTTTTTTGTGTCCATTATTTTTACCTGATTCTGAATACGGTGACAGGTTTTTCACCGAAGAGAAGGGTTTTAGAGTCTTTGACCTTAACATCATGGTGCTTCCATTGACCGTGAACGCTGTCGTATTTGAACATGTATGTCTGCATTTTCCCATCGAGTAAATTAAAAAAACAAAATCTCAATTCAAGAGTTTAAATCACAGTTTTTTTATCTTTTAAGTTAACCACTAGATTAAATCAGCTGTTACCATATAATCTGTGGTGATGAAGGGATCATTAACGGCAACGAGTTCAACATCGTTCCTCTGAAGAACTACTCTAGCAACCAAGCGTCCGATTCTTCCAAATCCTAAGCAGGAAATCAAAAGAAATATCAAAACCTTTCAAAATCAGTTTAAATGCTTCTAAAACCGAAGTAACATAACTAGATCCAATGATTACCGTTAATCCCGATCTTGATCTTCTTATCTGAAGCTGCTCAAATGAAGTCAAACGAATGATTATCGAAAGTATCGTACTCAGTTGATAGCGAAATAGTGAATTAACAAAATGAAATGAAAAATGCAGAAATAAGGGAAATGAAGCAAATTACCCATTGACGATAACGACGAAGAAAGCCGGAGAACTGAGATCTAAGAGTTTAGAGCTAAGCAGAGGATTTTAGAGAGAGATTTAGCGGTGAGACAAAAAAGCAATACGCTGGGGGGTTTTTAAAGCAAATAAGTTGGTGAAATATCACGTCACAAGAGATTTAAAAATTCGTTATTTATAATTAAATCTGTATATATTAATATTATATTTAGTTTTAAATATAGTTTTAGATTAAATTATTTATTTGGTCATCCAAGTACTCTTTCTGTTTTGATGAATCAAATATTTTTCAAAATAAATCACACTTAATGTTATATTTAATTTTTATTTTGATCACTTGTTAAATTTTGTTGTTGATTTAATGTTACCTATTTGAATATTTGGATAATATTAAAATAATATTATATTAATAATAAAAGGTATATTATATCAAAATGAAGAAAATTAAAACTAATATCTTATATTCATGATTTTACCTTTAAATGATCAAATTACATTACAAATTTACCGTGGGCAAAAAGCGAAGGGAAAACTAGCTAGAGCCGTTGTTTCCCTCTACGAATCTTGTCTTAGCTGCTGGATTTACTGAGGTACTTTAAAACCGGTAATTCCACGCGCGTTAGTGGGATCTGATTTTTACTGTTGACTGAAAGAACCTTGTTGACGAGGCGGTAAGTTTCAC